AATTCTAATTTAGTATCGCTATTTAAATTAGTTTATTACTCGTTGTATATAGCTTGCTCCTATTACTACTATTATTGTTATTATCTCTTTCGAATAGTTATATTGTAAAATCACCAACGAGATCAAGCGGTTGGATACGATTGATTGAGTGTGCTATTGAGAAGAAGAGAGAAAGAGAGGGAGACTGGCGGAGTCTAGAAGGCTAGATGTAGTGCGGTCTAGGCAGGGCACAAAGTGGGGACTGGGCCCAGTAAATGCCAAGGACCCACCAACACACCCCCATAGACTGGAAGACCGCTAAAACAGTGTCTAAACCTCTGTATACTATTTACATTATAATATCTTTCATAGTATTGTTGAAACCCAGGGAACCTTCTTTTAAACCATTCCAATAAACTTAACAAATCTCGCGTACTTATTGAATTTCAATAGCTTCATTAGACCGTCAACTAGTATTTCATTACCCGGCAAGTACTCAATTACAAATACCTTCCTATCCACCTCTTAAATCAACCATTTACACCGTATATTAAGATATTTATTTCTAATTAGGAAATTAGTATTGAGAACCTAGTCTTTAGCATTACTACTATCTATATAAAGAATCCTATTAATCTTTCGAAAGCCTAAATTCACATTCAAATTATCAAATATACTATTAACCCAATCGAGCGCCTTTACTATAGAAGCCAAATTAGTAAATTCTACCTTAATCGTACTAAATATAATAAAATCCTATCGTTTAATCTTCCAAAGGATAGGGTTATAAATAAAGAACACAATATAGCCAGCTATACTCTTCCTTAAAGGGATGTCATCGGTAAAGGAGGCGTCCGTATACGTATAGAAGGATAGGGCTATTAATAATAAGAACATACCTCCTAACTTAATACTTAAATTAAGGTACTTTAATATATACCGCTATGAATACTTTATAATAATTAAATAACGGTCGTTTAGATTCTTAATACCTTTTGACAGTTCATTAATAGTAAAGAAAATATCTAGCTGGGTACTTATTAAAATCCAATTTAATAAATTAATCTTCTTAGGGTAAGACTTAGCTTCTTTTAGCGACACATTATCACCCCTATAGATCTTATAGTCCGGTAGCTATAGTATTCTAACGCCGTAGAGCTTAGTCTTACTATTATTAAATTTAATAATAACCGACTTAATATACTATTATTAGGATATAAAGACTATACGAATCTGGCGGTCCCTTACAATATTATAGCCTAAAAATGTATATAATTATCCCAATTCTGGCGGTCCCTTACAATATTATAGCCTAAAAATGTATATACTTATCCCGATTCTTTAAACTTAAAATAATTAACTAATGAATCTTTAATTTAATTAATAACGGCTACGGTTAGTATAGTAATAAAAAGGTTATTAATATAGAGAATTAATAATACTCCTAATACCCTATTAGTAAATAAACGAGAATCTATGAAAATAAGAATAAATCTAGTCTCTTTAAATACTAAAAGAATATAAAACTAATAAAATAAAGAAGGTTTAAAACTATAAAGAGCCTTAGTAAGTTAGTATACTACGCCTTCTTTATTATAGCCGGGTATGGCCTTTTTAAGTACTATCGGTTATTTAACGTAATATCAAATATCGTTAGGAATGGAGGCGTTCAAAAAGGTAGTATCGAAATCGAATTAATAACACTCATAATCGTTTATAGTTATAATAGCCAAAAATAGTCTAATACTAACAGAGTATACCACTACTACGTAAATTTCCTATATTGTCTATTTACCTTCTTCGAAATCACTACAAACTACCTATTTAACTCTAACTTTCTAATCTTTAGTGTTAATATTATACTTCTCGTTATATACCCATTTTCTAGGTAATACCTCTATATCTAGAGATCTAGGGATTAAAATATAAATTCCCCTATCCTCGAATACCTTAATGTACTTTTCCATTACTAGTAATTAATATAATTCAAAATTATCCTACTTTCGTACAATTCAATAATTCTTAGGGATAAATTATTAAACTTTACCGGTAGTAATAATTATTATATCGTAATTAACTTTAATAGTAGTAAGGCAATATACAGGTATTATCCGTCTTACTAAACAACCGTCTATTATACCGTAGAAGTTATTAGGTAATTTTACCAAATTTTAAACAATATTACTATTACTATCTTTTATTTATTAAATACCGTATTTAAAGTCTAGTAGTTTAACTATAGAGTAACAAGGTGTACCTTCACTTCCTCTAAATATAATACTTATATATCAATCCTAGAGGGTTAATTTTCTTATTTTAGCTATACCTAAGTAGACGGTTAACCCGTAGGGTCTGACTGGTTTATTATAAGCCCCGAATTCGAGGTCGGAGGGCCCGAATTCGGGTTTAGAGGGTCCGAATTCGGGGTTTACTACTCCGAATTCATCTTTAATTATAATTGTAGTTTACTAACTTGTAGTATTAGCGATAGGGTATATTATTATATGCCAGAAGGGTTCGGTATACCTATCAACGGCAATCGAACGGTTAAAGCGAATTATTAAAAACTATTAGGCGGTAGGGTGCCTAGAGCAATATATACGGTTAGCTCATTAGAATCACATCGGTCGCATTAATCGCGGGGTATAAGGTCTTCTTTATTAGGCATTTACTACACGTGCCCCATAGACTTCTTATTCGTGCCCCAACTCCTATTTGTACCCCAATATTACAGATCTTGGCACGTTATTTTGAGGTAAAATATCATTTACACAGTAAATTCCAGAGTCATACAACCACATGAAAAAATGACAATAATGGCCAGTAACATGGTTTTGTATGGAGATTTCTATGGTATACAATGTTCTCAATATCTATACTAGTATTATTGATTATGGAGAGGAATCTCGCAATACCTAGTATAGTATTTATAATAATTAATTTGATTCTATAACCTTCCAATTGGGTCTACTTATACGATTACTTTGTATAACCTTGAATGTTGGTACGCCTATTTAAATTAGAACTCTCTTTCTTTTATATTTAATTATTTATTTAATTAGGGAATTCGATTCTAATATAGCTACTTTAATAGAGTCTAGCACTAACTCTAGTTCTAACGCTTTAGAGAGTATTTCTAAAAATAATTACTATCGATTTAACTCTAGCTACGGCTCTAGTTCTAGCTTTGGCTCTAGCGTAGGTTCTAGGGAGGGGGTTAGCTCTAGAGAGGATAAGAATTTTAATTGTGATTTTAGTTCTAAAGAGGGATTAAAATCGAGTATTAGAGAGAGTTTAAAGGGTAGGAATTTTAGAAGTAGGAGTTTTAAAAGCGGGAATATTATCGACTCTAACTCTAATTCTAATTCTATATTTAACTTTATATCTAGTATAGCCACTTAAATATAATCCAATATTAATTCTAACTCTAAATCGCTTTTTAATACTATATCCAATTCGCTACTATAATTAGAAGTACTAGAATTAACCGGCTACTATACACACTTGTATTTAATAGCTTTATTAGTAGAATTAGGAATAAATTCATTAATATTATTATTTTCCTAATAAAATAATCTATACTATATATTAGATTATAAACGAGGGAGATTATTGCGGTTGCTCTATTTAATTAGTTTAGCCTTCTTACTCCCTCTCTTTAATCTAGATCTTATTATTAATATTAGTATAGCCTTCTTTTACTTGGGAATTTTTAGAGGGAGAGTATGTTTATTAGAAATAGTATGCTCGTTAAGGATAGTTTTAATTGAGTTTTTGGGTCGGCCGCGCTTTATACTTATAGTATAGGGGTTTCTGAGACGAAGGTAGAAATTGTAGGTATTTTGTAGAGAGATTATTAGTAATTATATATAAATAAATAGAATATAAAAGTATATAAGTGGTTCTTTATAATATTAGCGAGGGTGAATGTGGGTAAGCTTTAATAGTTTCTTTGTATTTAACTAGTTAAATATAATATAATAGTACGGTAATTTATATTGGGTAATAATATTGTACTCTTTATTGTAAGGTTTTAAAGAAGAAGGATGTCGTTGGTTGGGTACATACTTCTCTACTTGAAGGTATTTGTAATTAATTAATTCAAGGGTAATATAGTTGATTTACAATGGTAGTTTGCCTAGATACGTATAGTGGATATACTTTTATTACTAGTAGGTTTACTGTCTTACAATCTTTTCTTTAAATATTTAGTATTAATTAGTAGTTATTTTTATAATAGTTGTAATGAGTTTATAGATATTATTATTACTATTAAGAAGGCAGTTCTTAATATTGAAATTATTTAATTTAATTAGGGATATAATTCTAATACTAAAGTTTCGATATTGTTTAATATAATAGTATGCCTATTAATCTTTAATAGGAAGTTAATTCTTTTGAATATACCGAAGGATGACCTATTATGCTTCGAATTGCTTCTTTAACTTCTCCTAAATAGTCTAAAATTCTAGTTTAGTATAGGTATATATTACGAGCTTGAATATATTTATAATACTATAGGGGTCGTTGGTAATTTTGCTTACTTTTGAATTAGGATTGTATACTAATAAATAAACGCTTTAATTAATTAAATTAAAAGAAATTGGATTCTCCTAGTCATTTTTGCCCTCTTCGTTTTTAGAATTATTATTATTATTCTTCTTCATCTTCTTTTATTTCTTTTTAGTATTAAATAGTACGTTTTTAATAATGTGGAATAGATAGAGTTGTTATTGGGTATTAAGAAATATCTCTCCTAGAGATTGCTTTATTTTATTACATTTATTTATAATAATAATAGTTAGGATAGGTAAATAGTAGCGTGATCCTAGTTCTTTAGTAGCTTTAATTAAAAAGTTAAAAACTTCTTACTTCTTATTATTAATAATACTAAAAATATAGTTAAATATAGTACTAACGGATAAGACGCTAGATATTTAGTAGAAGGGATAATGGAATCGGTTAGTATTATATATATTATTAATAATTATAATTTTAGGAAATATTTTGGCTATTTCTATCTAAGTTGGCAAGGTAAAAATAATACCCAATAACCTCTCCCTATTATTAGGATCTATTTTTTTAATATATTCGATATTATTATTATTAAATAACTTAATTAGAACACCAATTGGGGTATAACCATCGAAGTTACAACGATGAATAATTGCACGTACGTTGTAAATATCGGATTTTATATATATAGAATTAGGGAAGTCCTCTCGTACTATAGTAGTAATCTTTCGAATTCGTATAGTATTGAGTTTTAAAGTGTCGTCGATTTTCTTAAATATTTCTAACTTTATTTTACAGTATTGGGGGTGCGCTAAAAAATGCTAGGATTAACTATAATTATAAATTTAATAATTTAGGTTAGGATTGAGTGAAAAGTGCTAAAGACCGTCTTTATCCTTCTTTATAACGGCCTTCTATTAATAACTATACTTCCGTAATACCGTCTTTCGAATTGTAATAGTAGATGGGCGCGGGTTGCTAAAATGGTTATAGAGAATATAATAATAAGTGTAATCTTTAGCTAGGATTTTAGGTTTAGTATTATAACTTCTACCTCGAATAATAATAAAACTGTAATATTTAACCTACTAATTAATTACTTCTTAAAGACCTTTAATTATAATTGTAAAGCGTATAATATTAGAGGGTAGGTTAATAATTATGTTTTTATAATTAAAAAGCTTATTTTTAGGTTTATTATTAGAAGTACTATCGAGAGAAGCGTTATTGAGAGAGGGATTAGCTCTAGGATTGGGATTGGAATTAGGATTGGCTCTAGCTTTGGGATTGGGACTGGGATTGGGATTGGGTGATAGTACGCTAGATTCGTCGTTAGAATCGTTAGGAGAATTAATAAGAATATTATTATTAAAGAAACCTTCCTACTCCTCTTCGCTAGTATTAGTATTACGGTCGGTATTAACGTACGTATCTAGCTTCTATAGCGGCGCTATTTTGAAATACACATAGTCTTATAAAGTTTTAAAGAAATTAATAAATAGTTCTAGTAATTAATACGATTAATATTCACGTACGTACAGTCGATTCTAGCCTGTTCTGGTAGTGAAAGGTAGTCTGGTTGTAAAGAGGGAGAAAGAGGAAGGTTTAAAATTACTAAGTTTAAAATCTAGGCTGGGTATTGAGTGCGTGAATAAGGGTTCTACTAGCTAACTGGGCTTGGCACTATCTTATAGTAGAAGGCTGTTGTACGATTACTGTCTGGTTGAAATAAAAGATAGTAATAAAGAATGCCCACGTTAAACCCTAACCCGATTGGGGTACAAATAGGGATTGGGGTACGAATAAGAAGTCCATGGGGCACGTGTAGTAAATGTCCTTTATCAAGATCTTCAAAATCAAGAAAATCGTTATTATACTCGATAGTATCTCTAATCATAGATTCCGACGGCTAATACTATAGTAAATCTAGCAATAAACGCACTAGTAAGGTTCCTAGAACCTAGATTAGCGATAGGGTCGGTATCGGTAATAGTAATATTAGTGGTATCGCATTAGCTGGAGTATCAGGAGGAACCGTTATAGTTACTAGAATAGTCGGGTTGATTAGAGCAATCGAATTAACTAGCGCGGTTAAGGGTACTAATATAACCTCTAACGAGAGTAATAATATAATCGTCGTCTCCCAAGTCTTTTTAACTTCTTAATAGGGTAACTCAATTATTTTCTATAAATATAAGAGTTAACCTGCCCGCACGCACCAAAAACCTTGAGGTACGCACTTTTTAGAATCTAACAGCTGACATGTAAAATATATCATTTTAGCTGTAAAAATCGTAATTTATTATGTCTCGAGGTGGGTTAACCTAGCAAATCCCTGGTAAATGCCCTGTAAATCTTGGTCTTTAGCAGGTAAGGAAATCTAATAGCGCTAATTTAATAATACTCTCTATAGTATTAATTCTACTCTACTCTACTCTATACTAAATACTTATATTTAACAACTTAGAGCTTACTTTTAGTAGCTTAAAGAGCTTAGAAAGCTCAAAGAATTCAGAGAAGTAAGAGGAAGTCGATAATAATTCAATAGCCTCCTCTCTCATCTACTCTCTCGCCCTCTATTCTCTCGCCCTTATTTCCCAATATCTCCCCAGCTCATCATTCTCATCTTCATCATCATTAGCTACCTCAATACAGTTACGTACATCGTCTTGGGCATTAAACTTTTCGATACTAAGTCCTTATTCGTACCGGGAATAGTTGCAACGCACTAAAACTCGTATAGTACCTAGGTTACATAATCTCCCCTTTAGTACGGCTAATATACGTATACGTAAAGTAGTCTATAATAGTACTATAAATATAGGCTTACTACTAAATAAACCTCCTTATTTACGTAGGCGGCCTTTGGGTACTACCTTAGCAGTTAGTTTATATTTAAAATATTTATTTACCGTATCCTAATAAGGTAATTAGTATGAGATATACCCGGGGTATAGATAATAACTTACCCGTCGTTAATATAAGTACTAGAATAGATAGCAAACTTCCTTCGTAATTAGGGTTGTTTTACCCTCTTCCAATAAGATCTCTATTTTATAGGTATAAGGGAGCCCGTACTAAACTCTAAAGCTCTTTAAATATAATTTAAAAGGGATATTAGGGAGTCCTAATCGTTTAAAGGGTAATATTGACTTAAGTTTATATTATTAGTAGTTAATAAAATCGAATACCTAAGCAAATAATTCGTAAAAGTATATACCTATCCACTTACGGTTAACCCACTTCACACGTACACAATTGTTAAATTTAGCTAGTAAGTCTATATATACTTTATAACGGTGGTTGATATACTGGAAGTAAGCCTTATATAATTCAACTAGCCTACTACGAATTAAAAGACTATAATTTTTAAATAAACTATTATTAGCCTTGTTTAGTAATATAATTCTCTATCCCTAATTAAAATAATTCCTAATATAACATCCAGCCTACTCTTTCTTACAAAGTAATAGCGTATTTCGAATCTACAAAACAATATTTTCTTACCTTCTAAATTAATACTATAGAATAGACTAAGCCTATTTGAAGTCTACTATATTAAAGAAGTAAATTATATACTATTATATAAAGAATAGTGCTAACTATATATTAGCGACCTTATTTAGCAAAGGGTCGAGTCTAGCTTTAATTCTAATAGTTATTAAAATTCGAGTGTAACGTCATTTTAATTCCTCAAAATCTTCTTTATTACATTACTATTACTTTTATACTTTTTAAGTATATAAAGGACTGTAAACCTAGTCCTTCTTAAGGTAATTAATAATATTACAATTAATATACTAAATATATCACTATTTCTATATATTAGGGAAAGTTTAGTTAATTATAATAGTAAGTTAAAAATCGCCGTTAGTAATAGCTACTGCTAAGTAAGGGATTTTAAATTCGTTAATAGTATTTTTAATATATTAGGCTAAGAATATATACCCTTCTTCCCTTTCGTTATTAAATACTATTTAAAAGATTAATATAAAAGTTCTCTCTAAAGTAAAGATTATTCCCTAGATTAAGGGGAGATAATACCGGTTAGTTTTATACGTTATATTAATTAAAAAGGTATATAGGAATTTGAATTATATTCGATATTAGTATTTAATTACCTAAAAAGTATAATAGAGTATATCGCCTCCCTTAAAAACTTTATACTTAAATACAGGAACCCTATTACTATTATAATCGTTATTAAGCCGCTTAATAAAAGTCTAAGTATTATTATAGCTTTATTATAAATTATAGCGGGTAATTTAATATAAATTATCGAAGTCTTCATAAATCTAGGGAATTTTAGGATACTTTTCTTTAACTATAGCGAAAATAGTCCGTATAGTAAAATCTTATTATAATAGAAGGTCTTCGATAAAATAATTAATTTTTAAATTAATTTTATAATTAAAAGCCTTATTATAAAATATAAAGTAGCCTTCTAAAGTATATAATAGAGGGTAGCCTTCATATATAAAACTTATAGCCCGGGTAGTCTATCTCCATTCCGTACTCTTTTTAAATTGAAATACAATTTTAAATAGATAATAGTAAGCTTTCTTTTATAATATAGAATACTTCTTTAAATTAGAGTTCTAAATAATTTAAGGGCGATACTCTACGTAGTCGTATTGAAAGATAATCTTAATAATAGAACTATATAATAGATAGCTTAATCTATTATACTTCTAACTACGTTAAATTAGAATATTAAAGCGATAGCAACAGTAAAAGGCGACGAAATAGGCGTATATTTCGTTATATTTATCAGTAGGCTCGAAAGAGAAGAGGGGGTCGTCGGTTAGTATAATCTACATTACATCGGAATCAAAGGAAATATTAGAAGCGAAGGTAGAGTTCGAGGAGGTCGACGCGCAACGAAAGCGCTTATTACTAATAGAAGGCGCCATTTATAATATTTAATTAATTTAAATATTAATTAAATATAATAACTTTACGTACGTTAAGAATAGTTATAGAGTGTTGTTGTAGATATGTGTAAAGTGTTGGTGCTATAGTAGTGTAAATGCGTGCAATTGGCCGTGTGAAAAAAGGGGAAAAGAAATGACTAAAGTACAGCGATGTTGCGTGCATTGAAAAGACGAAATTTTGCGGGTAAAAACGGGAATTTCAATGTCAGGTGTTATTAGCTGAACCGTCCTAGTTTTCTGGTGGGGGTGCGTACATGGAGGTTTTTGGTGCGTGCGGGCAGGTTAACTCAAATATAATTATAGAACCGTACTATCTACTTTAACCTAGATCTAATAGCCGCTATTCGCTACTTTATTAATTTTATCGACTATTTAATTTTAAAAAATAACGTAATATTCAATAACGTTACTATTACTATTATAGACTAAATCTTTATAATTAACTAGATCTTCTTTAAGAAAGGTTATTATATTAGCTCTAACGATTTCGCTGATATAGGGATTGCAAATAAATATAATACAACCGTAAATATTATTAAAACTAATGAAATAACCCTTCTAAGCTCTAGCAGAAAATTTATCGCCTTGTAGTTGCTTTTCTAGTTTAATGAAGTAGTAAGCCGTATAGAAGTAAGACCTTAAGTACTTGAGATATAGCTGCTTAATTTCGTTTAGGAAATTAGCTACCTCGGTAAATAATTCCCATAGGCTTCGTCTATTACAAGCCTTTAAAGGAAGGAGGTTAAGTACTCTAACGACGTAGTCTACTATAAACGGCTATAAATGCTTTTGGATATTAAAATCTATTATTAAAACTCTAGCTCGTTATATAATAATAGTACTAGCTCTCTCGATCTTTC